TGTGTGTGTTGCTATGTTGGCCAGGCTGAGCTCAAGCAATCTTCCTGACTCAGCCTCTTTCTTGTATTTCTTTTATGTACTTAGGACAGGATCTACAGGGTCTCACTATGTAGATCGGACTCAGTGATCCTCCTGCTTTTAGCCTCTCAGGTGTGCACCACCACGCCCAGTCTCAATTGCAGTCTCAGCGTGCCCCGGGGGGTGGGGCCAGCACAGCACTCCGGGGGATCAAACCCTTGCTGCTGCACTCTGCCTAAGCAGGCGCTTTAGTACACTGAGCTATCTGGCTGACCTCAGCCTCTTGATAACTAGAAGTACAGGTGCACTCGTGATCTGAATAATCACTATGACTTTTCATTAAGTTAAATATTTCAAAGTCAAGTTTTTAGAAAAGAGACCATACCTACTTAGTGGTCATCTGCTTATCACCAAAACCCTAGACATTAGTCCCCCAGTCTTTTCTAAATTATTTCATTTGCTGAAGGTTTGAAGGAACCAGACATGCAGCCTGTAGACCCCGGCCAATGCCCTAGTAGGCAGGTGCACCAAAAGGCTCTCTCTTTCCAGCCCATGACAGCCCTACTCCTATGACTGCAAGGGGCCCCCACCATGCTGTCCTCAGGTACCCTTACCTAGTGAGGGTCCCAGTATGCAATGTATTCATACACGTACTTTCTTAAATGCATAGTGAGCTTCTTAATGAACCATAAAGGAACAAGCTTCGGAGAACATCTGGAAACTTATTACCTACCAGAGAGGTCTTGAACAAATGAAGGCCATCTCAGGGACTCCCCTTCCCTGTTTGTACAATGACAAGCCTGATTGCTGTCTGAAGTCACGCCCTGCCAACTCTAGCCTTCTGTGAGGTCAGGGAAGCATGTGCTTTGTGTGGGTTAGCCCCCAGGAAGGTGGGTCCTAGCTAGAGACAGAATCACCTGGAATATGGCAGAGGGCTTGGGGTAGGTGTCCAGGGTGGGGCAGAGGTGCTGCCCACATCCCTCAGGAGCTTGGAGCCGGTAATCGACCTTGACATTGATGTTGGAGAAGCAGTCTTCCTCACAGAGCTGCAGGGCCAGCTGGGGAGATGGGGTCAGCGTTGGAGAATATGGAGAAGAAAATGACAGAGAGAGTACTTTTAATTCTGATATGGTCATTAAGAAATAATCAGGCTGGGGAGATAGCTCAGCAGTCTAAACACCTGCCTGGGAAGTGCAAGGACCTAAATTCAATCCCCGGCACTGCATGCAGTGCTGACCCCAGAGCCCTGGGTGTGCCGAGCCAACCACCAAAACTGGGAGTGGTGGTGCACACCTGTAATCCCAGCACTGGGAAGGCTGAGACAGGAGGATCACTATGAGTATAAACTCACTGCAGAGTAGTAAGACTCTCTATCAAATAAATAAATAAATAAATAAATAAATAATTTTTAAAAATTAAAAAAAGAAAAGAAAGAAACAATCAAACTAGTGATCAGAAGTCCTAAGCATTTTCTGAATAAGCCAAGCTGAAGGGCAACTTTCTTCAAGAAAGCTGCCAAGAGCTTGGGAAACACTGCCATAGACCAGGTCTTATAAATCCTTACGTTCTCACCCCACTCACAAAGAATTCTGGCCATCAAGGGTAAGAACTAGCTCAGACTTTATCTGGAAGGCAATAGGATTGACAAGAGGGTCACATCTGAGTTTACAGAGATCTTTCCCAAGGTAGCAGGAAAGACATAGGAGAGAAGTAAAATCTGACCTAAGGAGCGAACTGAGGATACCATTGGCTGTGTTCTGTTTAAGTGAACCTTTGGGTCATGATAACAGCTCTGAACACATGATACCCAGTTAGCTTGATCCCTGGTGGAAAATGTAATGATGCTTTTACTTAAGGAAAGCCACAGATGTGCTGGGAACTCTTAAGCCAAATAACAATCGCCCTGGAAGCAGACATAGAGTCAGAAGTGTAATTCATGAGCTTGTTTATGGGAATAAATGATCCTTGTATGTCGAGAGTTCTAGTTCATCTTAGGCTTTGAATCCAAACAAACTTGGTTTTTGTTTTTTTTTTTTTCTGTCTCTGGCTTGCCAGGAGAAAGCCATCATAAATGATAACTTCTGTCTTTCTGTTTCTATCCTTTAATTATTCTATTTTTAAATGTTGACTTATAGAAGGGCCTTCAGCCACTGGTATCAAGTAAGATAACATAACAAACATTTCTGATTTATTAACAAGATAAATGTCATTGACTTAAGTAATTCCCCTTTTTTCCAGCTTCTAGGAAGCTCAGAGACAGTGATCAATTTTGGTGTCTTTCATTTGTGTTTGTTTTATTTATTTATTTTTCTTTATTTGGTATAAGGTCTCTTTACACAGCTCAGACTTATAGTGATCCTCCCGTGTCAGCTTCCCCATTGATGGGATTACAGGCATATGCCACCACAACGGTTTTGGTGGCCTGCTCAGCGCAGGGCTGGCATGGCATGTGGGACTGGGGATAAAACCCAGGTCCTTGCACTTGCCAGGCAGGCACTTAGAGCACTGAGCTATCTCTCCAACCCTGTTTGTCTTATTTTTTGAAACTGGGTCTTGCCATTAGCCCAGGCTGGCCTTGAATACTCAGCAATCCTCCTTGAACCCTCAGCCTCCCAAGTGCTGGGACTATAGACCTGTACCACTATGCCCAGCTTTCACTATATTTTGATGTAATCATCTACATCTCCCATGCCATGAGGGGTCTTGATCTGTTGCAATTATTTTAATTGCCTCATGTTTGTGAATGGCTGTGTTCCCTGTATTGTGAACACTGCAAATCTTTTCTCAACATCAAAGACCCCTTTGGACTCTTGCTTAAGTTCCTGTACCCACCTCTCCCTCTGTGGAGACAAACTGGAGGTTCTTGCAAAGGCGGTGCCCACCCCTCCACTCCTGGTGGTGACTCAGACAGTCCGTCGTATGCACACACTGCAGCCTTTTCCTGGACTTTGCCACATCCACATCTACTGTGAAGTTGAGTGACATCTCTCTGAGGCCTGGGGGTGAAGACAAAACCTTCCCCATGAGGCTGGGATGGCAAGGCTCAGAGGGAGGCCCCCAGCCTGCAGAGGCTCCTTGGAAGCTCCTCCCAAATAGTGTCCCCATGGGACGCTTCCCTGGGCACTTCCTTGAGAATAGTTCATTCCAAATATGCTCCTCTCACTGTCCTGGCTCCCTCTCACTGGCCAGGGTCCCTCAGCAATCTGCTCCACATCCAGCACTACCCTAGGCTGGGTCTACCTTCCTTTGGGAAGGAGGGATTGGGCAGGACATGGAGAGGGAGGGAGAAACAAGAAATAGAGAAACCAGAGTAAAACCATAGCATAAAGGAATGAGAAGCCCCTCAGAGATCACATAGGTCAGCTCCCTTACTGTGCAGGACAAAAACCAGGGCCTCCCAGAGAGAGAACAAGAACTGCTCAGTGTCACAAAACCCTCAACAGGGTCTCTGTGCCAAGAATTAATAGGTCAGTCACTTTCTGCCCTCTAGTTTGAGAAGGAAGTCCTGCAGGCTTTCTGGCCTGCAGTGAGCTGCAAGCCCCCAGGGATTGTCAGTGTGGGATTCAGCCTTGGGGCTACAGTTCAGAGGGGAACTCCTGGGTTGGCAGGAGATACCAGGCTGGGAGAGCAAAGCCCACGTCCTTTTCTGGAAAGCCTCCCAGTGAAGGTGAGGAGGGGGATGGGGGGCCAGGCCTCCAGCAGGTTATCCAGTCCCACCAAGGCTAAGAGACATACGAAGAAGGGGAAAAACATAACTGAGAAAGAGAACCAGTTCTTCTGCAGGTTCTCAGAGAGAGCTCCAAAGCCCTTCTGCCCAACTGAAGGAGATGTGACATCAGACCCCCTCCCCTTGTCCTGGTGTAGTTCACATTTAGTTGAACTTAATAACAACAGAGCAGAGTAATCTCAAGCACCAGGAGCTCACATTATCCCCATCCAGTTCTCTTTCCCTGCCCTCTACAGAAGCCAGTAAGCAATACAAGAGAGCTGCTGAGCGCCTGTTACCTGACTCAGCTGCTGCAGTTGTGGAACTCAGTTCAAAGCACAAATGTCCATTCACCCTGCCATTGAAACCAACAGGCAGTGCACTGGGGGTGAAGGTCAGGGACACCTTCAGGCGAACCACAGGTTGTGAGCTAGAAAGAAACAAACAGCAAAGAGAATCATAAGAAGTAACCACATGACCGGATCAGAGCTTGGCTGCTTCACTTAGGCATTCATTGAGTATCTATGGAATATCTCCAATCTGCAGTAGGTACTGTATGTCCCCAGGAGACAGTGGGGACAGAGATAAGTCCCTGTTCTAGTGGAAAAGCAGACCACAAGCAAATAAACAAGAAGGAATAGGGAAATACTATGTCTGATAATGCTATCATAAAAATAAAGCAGGACAATATTATAAAAATGGGGGGCTACTTAGATTGGATGGCCAGGGCTGGCCTTGCTGATGAAATGGTGATGAAGTTGAAAATCTGAGAGAAGAGCATTCTGAGAAGAAAGCACAGCCACATAAAGGGCCCATGGCAGGAATGAGCTGAACTTGTCCGAGAAACAAAAAGATTAGCGTGGCAGGAGCATAATTAGTGAGAGAGAGAGCGGAGGACACTGGAGGGTCACAGAGAAACTGTGGCACATGGTGAGGAAGTGGGGTTTTACTCTTGAAGCCCTAGAGTGTTTCAGGCAGCAGAGTGAGGGGACCACTGGCTGCTGGGTGGAGAATGAACTTAGAGAGAGGAAGCAGGGAAGGCCCTTTGGAGACAGAGCCACCAAAAATTTGTTGATGGGGTGGTAGAGGGAAGAAAAGGTGGCATCAAGGCTGACTTAGGTTTTTGTCCTGAACATTCCAGTGATGATGGTCCCAACTTGCCAAGACTGGAAGCCCAAATTGGGAAGACTTAGGGGAAGGAAGGCTGAGGGAGAACCAGAGTCTATGTTGGATCTTTCCACTTTGAGGGGCTCATGAGCAGCCGCCAAGATAGGCACTGAGCAGTCAGGAAGCCCATTGCTTCCTGGAGGAGCTCCAGGGGGTTATGTGTAGCTATGGCCTTGATCCACTTCAGGGATGAAGCACAGAGGCCCTGATGATGAGGAGGAGGATGAGGATGAGGATGAGGATGATGATGATAACCATCACTCAGCATTGTGCTAAATATTCTGCATATATTCTCTCATATAATTCTCATAATTCTGTAGGTACAATCATTAGTCCTGTACAAGAAAGTCGGGACTTAGCATTAAATAATCTGCCCAAAGAGACACTGGCAAATTAGGGATGAGCTCAAACCCAGACTAGCAGACCCCAGAACCTGTGTCCTAAACAATCAGGCTTCCTCCCTCCCTTGTGCCCAGTGTCCATATGGATCCCTCTAGAGCAGGGCAGGCAGGTGAGCTGGGGTGGGGATCCCAGATGGCAGGGCAGACCCCTACCGGAGCACGGTTGCTCGGCCCAGCGCTGCCACCGTGATGTCAGCAAGGCCATCGCCACTGAAATCTAAGCCACCAGCCACAGACACACCAAAGTAGCGGAGTCTTGAGGCCACAGCAGAGGCTCTGATCCACTGTAGAGGGAGAGACAATGTGTGAGGAGAGGAGGGAGGCGAAAAAGCATCTTTTTTTTTTCTTCTATTAAATTCAGCATCATCCCACTCTCCTGCCCCAGGGAGCCCTTAACCTTCAAACAGGAAGGATGGGAGGTTCCCCAGAGCAACTGACATTTGAGTGGAACCTTGAGGCCCGAGAGTTCTTCAGGGAACCTGCCAGAGGGTAGAGCAGTGGGTGGGGGTGGGGGTGGGGAAGAGGAGAGGTATCTAGAAGAAACAAGGCTTGGTGTGAGGCTGGGGCAGCAGGAAAGGATTTTCTCAGTCTATGACATCATCAGGGTTACATTGTAGAATATCACAGCAGGCACAAGTGGAAGATGGTCAGGGGACTGGAGCTGGAGCAGGGTGGGAGTCCAGGGAATAAGAACAAGGCCAGAACTTGGATGTGGATTTGGGAGAAAGCTAGACATGTTAGGACATGGGGCCTGACAGGCTATAATGCACAGTGACTTCTGTCCTCCGTTGCAATTCCAGCCACACCGCCTGAGACTGGACCAGCACTGAAGACTGGGGTGGACATGGGGCTCAGTCATCCTATCTGGGGGAGGTCAGGGCCTAGGGGTGAGGCAGGAGCGAGGCCCAAGGTCACCTGTGAGGGGCTGGCAGAGAGGCCGTCGTGGTGTCCGTTGTAGATGTACACACTGCCGAAGCTGGCCCCGTCATCCACCTCCAAACCCTCCAGAGGAGCCCCGATGGCCACATCTGTGAACTTATCCTGACTGATATCCCCCACAGCCGCCATGGCAAAGCCAAAGCGGGCATTAGCGAACCTGGATTTTCCACTCAGCATGTGTGCCAAGGAGAAAGAAGCATCCTGCAAAGCAAACCAGCTGCTCAGTCCTCGAGGTAAGCATGCAGGGTGCCACACCATTGTATACAAGGAACATCCTCAACAGAGCTGGTGAATCTAGTCTGCAGTGAGCCTCTGGCTCAGAAAAGATGTGGGACCTTTCCAGGGTCACACAGTGGGCTGGTAGCAAAGCTGAGGTCTTCCTGCCTGAAACTGAGGATGCCAGGGCCTGCCCCTTCCACTCATACAGTCTGAATTGGCAATTGGGAAGGCCTGGGTTGCAGGCATGGCTCTCCTACGTACTTGCTGGGCAAATTTGCAAGCTTCAGCATCATGGACATTCACTGAGCTGCAGTTTTCTCATCTGTAAAATGGGAGTGACTGTTACCTCCTATAATTGCTATGAGAAGCAAGTAAAATTACAGACTGCACATCCTTTGCCCACCATAAAGATATGAGAAATGTTATCGTCCACAATTGCCCTAGTGGAAAGAGGGGACCATTCCTCCCCCTGAGCATTCCTCATCACTGTCCACTGCTGCCAGGCAGGGCCAGTGCTCACCCGGCTTGCACCACCTCTGGGCCAGGCTGGCAGCCAGAGCCTCAGCAAGCCCCTGGGACCAGAGATTCTCCCACCTGCTCATGCAAACGGTACACGTAGACTCTGCCTTCTTCTCCACGGATGTGGTAGAATGGAGCGGCCAACAACAAAATGTCTGAGGTCCCATCCATGTCGATGTCCACAGGGCACAGTTCAGAACCAAAGTAGGACCCCAGCTATGACCCAAGAGGAACTCAACACTTGGGCAGTACCAGGGATACTCTCCTCCACCCCTTAGCAAGGTTGACCCCAGCTAATGCTCATCGTGGATTCCCAAAATGGGCTTGTTCCAGAGTAGTGTGCTCACTAGTGACACAGGCAATCAGGGGAGCACCCCAGTGCACAGGGGGGGACTACCTGGTAGACACTCAGAATGGCTAAGTTCTACCCTGGAGTTGAGGTTTACCCAAATGAGGTCCATCCCTGTCCCCTGGGGCCATCAGAGCCCTGTGTGTAATGGGAGGGGGACCCCATCAGGCACCTGCTCTCCTTCCAGCACCCGCCGGAAGGTGGCTTCTCTGCTTTCTGGTTGGAGCTCAAACACAGCCCCATGTTGCCGGTACCGTGGAGCCCCCGCGATGTAGGAGACACCATTAGCCTTGCGCAGCACTGCCACCGAGTAACCTGGAGCAGGGTGTTAGGACTGTAAATGAGTGCTCCCCAGTTACTCCACTGAAGCCCGCCTTCCCAGCCAGGCCTTCCCAGAAATCTGGTGATGCGCTGGCCCCAGTCACACATACACATATCACACACACACACACACACACATACACACACACACACATATATGCCGCTTTGCTTAAGAGACACTCACTCACACACATTTCCTGCTGGCTCCTATGTGCCCATTGTTCTTAATGGAGAGACCCCATCCTCCCCTATTTCGCTACCCAAGCCCACTCTGTGACAACCCAGAACTGCCAACCGCAGGCTAACTGGGGCCCATACTGGGAGACCCATGGGACCAACCAGGACCTTCCTCTACCGGGAATCTCCATGTGTAGACTAACACCCAACCTCAGCATACCCAGGCCCCGCCCTTGCCCAGGTAGCCCAGAGGCCCCATTCCTCACCCAGGTAGCTGTACTGTGCCGCTCCCATATCTGCTGCACTCTGGTTTAGGAAGTGACCCCGGTGGCACCGCGTGTTGTAGAGCAGTGCGCCTCCAGACCAGTTAAATGCCCCGACAGCACCAAGGAGCACCTGACCCTGCAGAGGACAGGGACAGGGCCACATGAGAGGTGGGGACCCAGGGGCCAGTGCAGTGCAGTTGCTGGAAGCAGGGGAGGTTTGGCAGCAAGGGACAGCCTGCTGGTGCCCGTGGCTAATCATCCCAGCTGCACTTCCAGAAGCTGGCGTGGGACCCAGATATCAAGTTTTTTTTTTTTTTTTTTTAGAAAAATACCAAAAAAGTATGATTAGCCTGACAGGATGGCATTTTCTTATAATCCCAGCAATCTGGCAGGTTGAGGCTGGAGGACTATAAATTCATGCCAGGACAATTTAGGAAGGCCATGTTTGGGTGGGGGTGATGGCTCAGTAGAGTAAGTGCTTCCCTGGCAAGCTCAAGGGCCTGAGTTCAATCACCGGTTCTGAAAAAAAAAGAAAAAAAAAAGGAAGGCCATATCTTTATTTATTTATATATATTTTTTGGCAGAACTGGGGATTGAACTCAGGCCCTTGCGTTTGCCAGGCAAGTGCTTATTCTACTGAGCCATCTCCCCAGCCCCATCTTTATTATTTTTTAAGATTTATTTATTTATTTGCTTACTTATTTGGTACAGGGTCTCGCTACGCTCTGACTCATAGCGATCCTCCTGTCTCAGCGCCCCCAGCACTGGGATTATAGGCATGCACCAGCACACCCCATTTAGGTGGCCTGGATGGAGCACCCGGGGTTCTGGGGCTGGCTTAGGGTGTGGCACTGGGATCGAACCCAGGTCCTTGCACTTGCAGGAGCTTAGACTGCTGAACTTTTTCCCCAGTCCAAGGCCATATCTTTAAAAAAGAAAAACGGATGGGCAGTGTAGCTTAGTGTGAAGGCCCTGGGTCCAATTCCCAATACTGGGGGAAAAAAAAAAAAAGTCTGATTGAGCAAGATGGCACTCAAGTGCTCCTCCTTCATCAGAGGCCTCCTGGTTGCTAACTGTGCTTCCACCATGGTCAGGTCTATATTTCTCTCTATTTGAGGGAGAAGTAAGACACTTGGTTGCCAAGTCCAGCCAAGTCAAACTGTGGGTTATTTGTATGTCTAAGAGAAGTGATCCAGCCCTTAAGCACATACAACAAAATGACTTCCTGTGATAAGTGACCATCCTTTGTCTGCCTTAGTGGGTCAGGTGAGGGAGAGCAAGCAGATGTTTCCCTTTACCCTAAAATGTCTCCTTCGGAGGCATCACCACAGGGCCCCGCCCTGTGAGCCCCTCAGTCCTTGCCTGGGCTGTGTGGGCCACAAACCTCATCCAGGATCTGGGCGCTGAAGCCGGTCTGTGCCAGCTGGTAGCGAAGGGCCTCTCCCACGGTGCCTAGAAGCCAAGAAGCCCAGTGAGACTCTGCCCCCTTGGGAGGGGCTGGGATTGGGGGGTGAGGAGGTGAGGGGGGTGGGGCGGTGGAGGTGTTTGGTAGAACAGGAAGAGCGCCAAGCGGAGAGTGGAGACTCGGGTTATGTTTCAGCAACTAGTGCCTGAGTGGGGTTGGGAAGCTCATGCTCGCTTTTGGGGCCTCATTTTCCTCATCTGTGAGTCCTAGGAATAGGAACTATGCCCCAGCTGTCCTTGGGAAAGTTCAGAGCTGCCCGTGGAGGTGGGTGGGGCAGAGAGGGTCGGAGCATCAGGCTGAAGCCTGCTGCTGAATGCGGAGGGATATAGACCAGGCGTGGTGAATTACTACAAGTCTGATCTAGCAGTGAGACCCTGAACGCACTGTAGACCCTTCCCTAAAATACAAAAAAAAAAAAAAAAAAAGTCACCTACTGAATGTGGAGGGATAGCCATGGGACCCAGGCCTGGCCCCTCACCTTCCGTGTGGATGATGTTCTGCTGCAGCTTACTCAGCAGCCCGTTCAGCGCTGCGTAGTTAGTCACCTTGAAGGCGTGGGTCTCACTGGGACTCGAGGCGATCTGCTTCAGTTCCCTGTCGGTCTTAGCACTCTGGAACGCATTTCCCACCTACATGGAGGTCCCCAGGCAGTGGTTCTTCGGATCCTGACTCTTTCCTTATCCCTTTCTTCCCTGCTCTCCCCACTATACTCTGGAAAAAATCTGGTTTTGCTAACCATGCTTTTTTTCCCACCACACGTGCAGCTCCCTGTGCCGGTGGAGCCTTCCCCACCTCCCCCGGGCCCTAAGCCAGTCACTCCTGGTGAGCTGCCAGGTTCAGCTCAGATCAGCTCCTCCAGGAGCCTTCTGTGGGCTCCCTGCATCACGCAGCCGGTATGCTGTGACAGCAACAAGGAAATGAGCCTGCCGTAGGAAGACCCAGCAGAGAACACAGGATAGGGGCGGGGGAGGCAGGAGAAAGGAAAGAGGGTTTGTGATCAGAGAGGGCTTGGGGGTGCTACTTCCAGAAGCCCCTTCTGTGAGGTCCTCTCGTCCAGGCTGTGCAGGTCAGGACACACCTCCTTGCCCCCGGCTCTTACCCCAATGGCAAAGCGCTCAACACCCTGCATCTTTGGTGAGTTGATGACAGTCGTGAGGTCGAGGGGGTCTTCAAATATGTCACCATCCGTGAGCACCACCATGACCTTGGATGCCTTTTTTCTGGAGCCTCGGCTTGGCGTGAAGATGTTGTCTCTACATAGGAGAGGGAAGGGAGAGAACTTTGCCAGGGGGATGTCTGTGCTGCGGGGGTGGTCTTATTCACTGTCCTGGTTTAGAATTAGAAAGGATTAACAAGTACCCTCCCCCATGGGGAGCAAAGAAGATGACAGTATCCCTGTCGGCCACATAGGTGTTCCTGCTCCTCTGGTCCTGATAGAATGAGGCTACACAGCATTTGAGGCTGTCTCGTGTGTGTGTGTGTGTGTGTGTGTGTGTGTGTGTGTGTGAATACTTACAGAACCCTTATTGTGTGCCCAGTGCTGTCATAAACATTATGTGTATTTGAATAAAATCCATAAGGCAAGGATTAACATTATCCTCATGTTAAAAGTAGGAAACAGAAGCACAGAGAGGCCAGGTAACTTGCCCAAGCTCCCAAACACACAAGCTTGAACTTGGAATTGAACCCAGAGGTCATGTGTGCTAAGCACACTGCCATACTGTGTCAGAGGCAGAGGTCCTTGGGAGAGTTTCCTGGGGAGAGTCCCCCCCCTCTCAGATCTGTGCAACATCTCCTCCAGGCATGATGCCACCCAGCCCTGGTAGGGGTGCCAGTCAGCATCCCACACTCACAGGACGTGCTGCATGGCTGAGGCTGTCTTGGTGACGTTCCCCACTTGAATTATGTTCTGCACTCTGGCAAGCGAGGCGTTCACGTCCTGGCTGTCTCGAAGGTCGAATTCAGTCTGGATCACTGCTCCATATTGCACCAGGGCAAAGCTGCACTGGAGGGGAAGGGCATGGGGAAGAGGTTGGCAGAGTTGCCCTGCCCAAGGCCTCTCCTGCCCCCAGGTAGCTCCCCTTGGAAACATTAGGAAAACCAGCTTGTCCACCTTGTCCCCAGGTAGAAAGAGAAGCTAAGGCAGGGGGAAGTCTCCTCTCAAGTACAGGTGATAGAGAGTGTAAGAGTTGTGGCCCACAGTGAATCAGCTTTTGCCCTGAATCGAGCTCCTCTGAAGACCCCTCCATGTTGACTATGAGATTGACCCTGTGACCTGCTTTGGCCAGTGAGACATCAGCAAATGCTTGCACTGAGTGTTGCTCTCAGGATGTTGCTGCCATGAAATGGTTGGGCTGGCCTGTGTAGACACATGACCCAGACAAGCGAGTGAGCACCTAGTCCCAGTCAAACAACCAGATGTCTGCAGCTGCAAGGCAACATCAGGCAAGACCCACAGAAGAGCCTCTCAGCTGAGCCCAGTCTGAATGTCTGATCTGCAGAACCATGAGCAAATAAGATGCTGGTTACTCTGAGGTTGTTTATTACCCAGAAATAGGTATGGCTGATGGACTACGAGACCACCCCTAAGGGAAACTCACCTCAAAACATTTGTCATAGAACTTTTCCATCATGTTGGAGATGAATTCTTTAGCTCTCTGGAAGTCTGGAGGATCGATGCTTCCTGAGCCATCCAAGATGATGGCGATCTCGGTACCTGGCCAAGACGGCAGAACAGGTCAGGTGTTGACAAGTGAATGTCCATCTAGTCCCAGTCCAGCAACCTTGGGCAGCAGCAAGGGCAGAACATCCTGTCTTGAAGCAGGGCAAACACCTGCCTCTAGCCCCAAGGCTCATTTCAGAGGAGAAGCCATGGAAGGCCCCAAGAATGAAGCACTTGTTTCAGTGGGAGAGGGAGAACTAGAACCTGCTTGGGCTCTGACTTGCTATGAATCACTGCCATGAATCCCACTCTCAAGGTCTCAGTTTCCCCATTTGTAAAGTGGAGGCACAGAGGGACTAGCCAGCCACTGTCCATCCCATCTTCCAGACTTGGGCCCACCACACCTCTGGAGGCTGCCAGCTGGGAGTCAGCTCTGGAAACCCAAATTCTTTCCCTTCTCACCAGCGTCCTCTTCTTCTTCCTCCTCATCCACCTTCTCCAGAGCCCTGGGCTTCCTTGCCCTGTTCTCCTCCTCCCCTGTGCTTCCTCCTTTGTTCTTACTGCAGTCATCAGCATCCACATACATATGTGGATCCAGGAGATTTTCTGTAAGAAACACACAGAAGAGCTCAAGTCAGAAGGCTCCATGGTCCCCCAAGACAAGCTCACATCTAGTTCTGTGGTGATTCCTTCCACAAATGGCATCTTCAAGTCTGCCTTGGCCCCTTCTGGGCCTCAGTACCCCTCTGCTTCTGCCATAGCTGGTACTTCTCCTTGGAGACCCAACGGGATCTCTTTAGAGATTTCTAAGGCCAGAGAACTTCCAGTCCTTACCAAGGTCAGAGAAGTTGACCTGGGCCCGGGGGTGCAAATCAGGGGCTAGGAGGCTGCAGGCACCTGTGAGTTCTGAGCTGAGGCTGTGTGGCTGCCGGGCCTGCACCTGAACGCATATCTGGGGAGAGGGGAAGTAGGGGAGGAGAAAGGCTGGGTCAGCCCCATGTCCCCTAGTCACAGCCACACTGTCACCTCCATGACAGAACTCAGTGGCTCCACTGGGCAAGGGATACTGGAACAGCTAGCTCCCCCTTTACCAGGAGTCAGTGCTGGGCTCAAAGCGGAAGTCCCCTCTCCCACACATACTCACCAAGACACCGTGGTGGTTCCGGACAGCGGTCACTCCCTGGTACCTCCCCTTTGGGATGAAGACATGTTCTGAAACAGTTCACCAAGTAAAGAGGGAGAACCCTGAGAGGCACCCCTGGAGCAGGATCTGAGGACACAGGGCTGCCATGATCAGGGCCCCTGAACGGCCAGAAGCTGGAGCTGGGGGCTTCCAGGTGGGCCTGGACATAGCCTGACCTCATTTGCTCATTCAGCAAATGCCCCTTGATGACTGGTGGGAACCTAGAAATGACGACAGCCTGGGCTATTTGTCTCAAGGGTCCTAGTCTGGGGATGGGGTCGGGTGGCTAGAAGAGCACAGCTGGTAGGTGGGTACAGCACCAGAGGAGTACACAGGATGCCAAAAGGCTGCCCGAATGGACCGTGACTACTTCAGGCTTGAAGACGGTCTCTGGGTAACCTTGCTACCCCGCAACCTCTGGGACAGAAGTGGGAGCGCCACACTACCTCCCACTGGGCCTCAGGACACTGTCTTACATTTGAGTTGCAGAATCCTCCAGCCCTCCTATTGGACTGTGTATTTATCTAGGCAGAAAGACACCACACAGCTCAGCGCCCCTCATTGAGACAGACTGTACTCAGACAGCCAGAGCTGTCAGTTTTTGCAGTTGCATCTGCAGTGCCACCAACTCTAGAGGTGTGACCTTGGTCATACTGGCAACTAAAGGACTTAACTTCTCTGTACTACAACTTCCTCTCCTCCAAAAGGTAGGCTTTTGAGGATTAAAAATAAATGGAGCACTGGACAGGGCACCTGGTACATGTCAACACTCAATAAATTTTAGGCATGGGTTCTATTGTGAGATGGCATTGGAAAGGTGGGGACCAAGGCTGGTGGGATGGGCCTGGGCATTGGTATGGAAGGAAGGCTTACTGTGGGGGAACTGGAATCCAGGGCTAAGTGCACTGGGATGAGTGTAATCCCCAGGAAGAGACTGAGGAGCAGGCCCTAGAGTTGGGGCTGACTTACCCACAGGTTGGCAAAGGATTTCATCCTGGGCAAGAGAACATCGATGCAGGGGTGCTGATGTGCTGCTGCTTCTAGGGCTGGTGACCAGGAGCCTGAGTGGTAGGACAGACAACAGGACACAGCTGGCTGAGGTCCGCCTTTCCCTCCTTATCTGCTCTGAAACAGTCTTCGCATCTCAGGTCCTCAGCCTCCCATCTGGTACAGGGAGAGCACACAGACCTGGGAAGGCAGGCAGGTTCCAAGCCCAGGACCACAGCCTTAGCATTATGGGGAAGGCCTGCGCTCAGCCCTGTCCTGCACAAGCCCTCACAGAGATGAGGTAATTCTATTGTTAAGACTGTTCTCTTGCGAGGATGGGAGTGAGGAGGCCACCAGGATCATAGCTGGTACTCTGAGAGTAGCTCTGTCTTTCTAACAGTCACCCAGAGTTCAGGGATAGTATTTTCTACGAGAAATGGAGATTGTTTAAGCAAATTGTTTCTTTTTTTTTTTTTTAAAACAGGGTCTACAGGGTCTCACTACGTAGATCGGACTTGTGATCCTCCTGTTTTCAGCCTCCCAAGCTTTGGGATTACAGGCACGTGCCACCATGCCCAGTCTCAATCACTGTCTCAGTGCGCCCTGGGGCAGGGTTTGGTACAGCACACCAGGGATCGAACCTAGGCTGCTGTTTTCTGCCTAAGCAGGTGCTTTAGTCTGCTGAGCTATCTGGCTGGCCCCAGAAATGGAGACTGTGATCCCTAACTGCTGGTGTCTTATCTCCCAAGCCCAGTCTACACCAAGCCTCATGTGGCAGCCTCAACAGTCTCACTACCCATGCTGCCCCCAGGGAGGACTGCAATGTAGCAGGGCTGGTGGGAAGGGGACCTGAGGCTTGGTTTGGTAACAGTGAACCCCGGACACCTAAGGCCTTCGTGCTGGGGGCAGTAGGAAGCTGGGGAGGACTTTATAAAGGGGAATCAGATAATCAGCCTGTGCTTTTTGAAAGGTCACAATGTGGCTGTGGTGGGTTGGGGACAGACTAGAGAGCACAGCACAGAGGACAGAAATGAGGTACACTCTTCACTTCCTCAATTCCTGTCACACTACATTTTTAAAACTATGAAACATAATATTTGCATAATATTTACAGAATAGCACATCTAACCTGGGTGTATGTACCCACCCACCCCAGGCTGACACAGCCTGTGTCATGGTCCCTAATGCCTCATATGGCCAAACCCAATGCATTCTTTCTGGCCTCATCTCCCTTGTCCAGCAGCCCTGGACATGTGTGGCCATCTCTTCCAGGACACACAGGACACAGTTTTTTTTTGTTTTGTTTTGTTTTTCTTGCTATCTGCTGCTTCCTCATTTTCTTCCTTTGATTCGTTTGTTGGCTCCTTCACTGTCTGACCAGAAAATGTCACCATCACCAGGCTTCTGAGCTTGGTCTGCATTTCTGAGTCAGCACCTTTTCCCTCGTAATCCCTTCCCTACCACGGCTGCACTGTCTTTCAGTGCTGAAGTTCCCACCCTTACACCCGTGGCCCTCATGGCCCACAAGTAGATCAGAGACCAGCTAGCTGTGGCTCTAAGCAAAATGATGGCCCTCAAGAGATCCATGTCCTAATTTCTTGAATCTGTGACTATGTCGTCTTCTACAACAGCACAGATCCTGACTGAGATGGAGTCATGACTGGGTGGGCACGATGCAGCTACAGAGATCCTTGCAAGAGACAACAAGGGTCAGAGTCAGAGAAAGAGCTGAAGGTGTGATGCTGCAGGCTTAGGACTGGACCAAGGGACCAGGAACTAAGAATGTGGGTAGCAGCTAGAAATGAGAAAGAGGAAAAGGAAAAGAATACAAGAACAATTCTCCCCTAGGAACTATGGAAGATACACAACCCCACTGAAACCTTGATCAAAGTCCAATCAGCTTGTGCCGCTGAACTACATCCCTGGCACTATCATAGTTTTAAAAAAAAAAAATTCTCTTTTTGTTCTGAGGACCAAACCCAGGGCTTCCAGCTTGCTAGACAAGTGTTCTACCACAGAGGTAAATCCCCAGCCCCTCAAATATTTTTTATCTTTTTAATTGAAAACCTGAATGACTTCCTTATATGAGTCTGATTTCAGAATACCCATTGATTATATTATATTTAATGGAAATTATTTTAGTTATAAGAGGATAATTCATGTGCCATATCTAAAGTACATTATAAAATTTTCATTGTAGCTCTCCATATTTTCATTTTTTGTAACATTTCAGTTGGGTGAAGAAAGACTAGAATTGCCTTATTTTTATTTTATTTATTTATCTATTTATTTTTTGTGGTACCGGGGATTGAACTCAGGCCCTTGCGCTTGCCAGGAAAGCGCTTATTCCACTGAGCCTAAGTGGAAGCATAAGGGCCTGCGTTCAATCCCCGATTCTACCAAAAAAATAAAATAAAAAGATAAAATTTAGATAAAGCTCATAGTGAGTGTTTAATACACATTTAATCAAGTAGAAGTATGTTCAAAAGGAACCAAGGAGGAAGAATGAAAATTATAAAGGGAGATTTATAGTAAAATGAAAATATAGCACTTTGGATTACCCAAAATACACCATACAAAGAACTCTTAAATCATGTAGTTTACTTGCTGACCATGTAACTATAAAAAAAGTTATGGCCTCAAAAGTTATACCTTCAAAATTGCTTTGAAAGTAAGTTCTTAAACTATAGCAATAAACAAAACACAACACACTTAAACAGTACTGCATTTTATTTTTAAAAAACATTTGGGGGGGAAAGCTCTTTAAAAACAAGAAAAATGCTTACTCTTTGAGAGTTATAAAGATGTTTTGACTAAATTGTAAATATGTTTATCGTATAATTATTTGCATGACTCTAGTAATGTTATCAGCAGCTGTAAGATCAGAATTTTTAAGAACAACATAAAAATAGCCCCATTATTTGCTTGTAGAATATGTTGATCTGGGGCTAGGGATATAGCTCAGGAACATAAGCACTTTTTTGGCAAGCGCAAAGTCCTGAGTTGGATATCCGGTACAAAAAAATGTGTTCATCTATGCCTTCATCGTTTGCTATGTCATCACTGTTCTAATTTCAAAAATTACATCCACAAGATAAGACAAAACCACTTGTGCATGGCCCATCTACTTTTGTTTGTGAAAATGCCCTTAATTTGCTGACAAGGCAAACAAATTTCAACTCTGATTATTATGAACAAAGAGAAGACAATCAGCTTTACAATTAACTTTATAGTTCAACTGCATGCCGGCAACATGCTATAGATGAAAAAAAAAATGATGGACTGGACTACAAGTATTAAATATTGAAAAATTGGGTCGGGGAGATAGCTCAGTGGCTTAATCACTCGCCTGGCAAGTGTAAGGTCCTGAGTTCAATCCCTGCTACCAAAACCAAAACAAAACAAAACCCTGAAAATTTACATTTATTTATTTATTTAATTATTATTATTATTAATTTTTTTGTATTTTAGGGAAGGGTCTGCAAGGTGTTCAGGGTCTCACTACTAGATCAGACTCACAGTGATCTGCCTGCTTACAGCCTCCCACGAAATTACAGGCGCACATCACCACGCCCAGTCTCAATCACTGCGCCCCAGGGGGTCACTGCATCACTCAGCATGGCTTTTATTGCTCCTGGTGGTGAGCATGATCTCTTTTCACAATAAATCATAACCAGCAGAAGATATCAATTAGATACTCATCACTAACCACTGTAGGCTTTTCTCCTCGTCATCCAGTATGCTTGTATATAATTCTACTTGGGTTCCTCAGGGACTCTAGCAGTTTCTTCATCCAGTTTCTGCAGAGAGGCACTCAGGATCTAAGGCAGCACTCCATCCTGGGCTTTGTAGTGTTTCTGCAGGGTCTGTTGGTGTTTGGCCGGCACCACCATCTTGCTTGTCTAGAGTAATTGCTGTCTCTTTTGTTGCTATTTTTTGTTTTTATTCTTTAGTTTACTGTTATACCATATTCCGTGTCACACCCTTGCTTCAACAGCTTCTTATGCACTTAGAAAACAGGGTTAAAGCCCTGGATTGTGTACAACCTGGATTCTCCCTGCAGTTCAGACATACTCTATCTTTTGCTTACCTGTCATCTTCTCATTGAATCCTGTCTCTAACCAACCTGGCCTCACAAACCAGTTATATGGCTTTGTCACCAGTTTTATTTCCTTCTCAGAACTACTCACTAATCAATAGTACCTTTTTTTTTTTTTTTTTTGCAGAACTGGGGATTGAACTCAGGCCCTTGCGCTTGTCAGGCAAGCACTTAGTCTACTGAGCTATCTCCCCAGCCCCCAATAGTGTCTTTTATTATTTTTTTAAATTGTCTTTTTTTGGGGGCTGGAGAGATGGCTCAGTGGTCTAAAGCACCTACTTGAAACAAGCTTGGCAAAGCACAGGGACCACGGTTCGATCCTCCAGCACCACATGCCGGCCAGCCACGCCCCCTGGTGGGCTGAGCTGGCCACACACACACACACACACACACACACACAAACACTAAATAAATGTTAAAAAAAAATCTTTAAAAAAAAAAATAAATAAATTGTCTTTTTGTGACAGGGTCTCCTATATGGCTCAGGCTGGTCTGGAACTTGCAATGATCCTCCTGCCTCAGCCTCTGAGGCTAGAATTACAGGCGTGCACAGCCATGCCTGGATCCCACAGCACCTTGTTTGTCTGTTTATCTATTTAGTGCTAGTCTGCCCAACCTGGTGCATTCCCTGAGAGTTTCCTTCAGCTGTTCCCCACAGAATTCCCAGGGCCTGGCCTAGGTCTGGGTACAGTGCAAATGCTCTGTAAGTATTTACTGCATGGCTTGAATGACAACCAGGGTAACTACTGACGGGCTGCTCTGGGCTGGGCAGGTGGGTGGAAGGCTAGGTGCAGCTAACTCCCCAGGTTGGGTCACTGCTCAGCAACCCTGCTTCTCTTCCCAGACACCTCTGGCCCTGTATCTTGGGTGGCTATCCAAGCTGTGATAAAGGACCAACCATTCACACCAGCAGCCCTGTGGACTGTGTACCATGCTGGACTGAGGACAGTCCTGGCACTCATTGTTCACTTCCTG